CCCGCCCGAGGACGAGCCCCCCATGGCCAGTGCCTCACTCTCCAAGTTCAGCTACACCACTGTCAGCAGCCTGGGACCCCCCTGAGCCGGCACCCCCGAGCTGGAGCCTCCCGAGCCCTTCAACACCAGTGCCTGGGGCCCGCGCCACTGGGCCCCCACCAGCCCCCGCGGCCAACACCTTTCTCTCCAAGTTCAGCTAAACCATCCTCAGCAGCCTGGGACCCCTGAGCTAGCCCCCCTTAGGCCCCCTAACAGCAGCGCCTGCCCCCCCCCAAGCTGGACGCCCCCAGCAGGACCCCCCAAGCATGAACCCCTGCCCTGCCAGCACACCCGTGCCCCCTCCGGTGCCCCCCAGCCGCCTGCCCTCGCCCAGCACCCCCCGCTCAATCCCAGTGGCCCCGACCCCCGGCTGGGTGGGGGCGAGGGGCGGGCGGGAGGAGCCTCGGGGCCGGGCCGGTCGGAGGCTGAGGGAGGTGGAAGAGCCCCCAGCCCAGCTCAGCCCGGGGTCTGCCCCGCTGCTCCCCGGCTACGGTCACAATAAACTGACCCCGTGCCCACCTGCGCCGCTGCTCCCAGCGCTCCTGCCCCGCCGCACGGAGGCTCCGCGGGGCAGCTCCGGGCGGGACGTGGGGTCGGCGCCGCGCGGGGCTCGGGGGCTGCGGGCTGGGGACTGCTGAGCCCGGCGGCGGCGGCGGCAGCTGGGGGGATGGACCCCGGTGCACCCGGTGCCGGCCCGAGGGGGTGACCGTGCGCCCCAGGGGAGGGGGACCCCACGGGAGGGGGACCCCAAGGGAGGGGATCCCGGGGGAGGGGACCCCGGGGACCCCGGCCGCCCCAGGACTCCATCTCCCATCTTGCCCCGCGCTCTACCGTCACACCGGCTCCTTCATTTGCATACGGCTTCCCGCCCCGGGTGGCCACGCCCAGCCCCGCGCCATTGGTCGCGCCCCCGCCGCTCTCGGCCATGGCGCCGGGGGCGGGCCCACAGCCCCTACCGACCTTGGCCCCGCCCACTCCGCGGCATTGCCCCGCCCCTCGCCGGTAAATGGCGCCGCTCGGCCCCGCCCCCGAGCCGGCCCCGCCCTCGCTCGGCCATGGCGGCCGGGGCTCGGGCCCCGCTGGCCCCGCGGGCACCGCGGACACCGCGGACACCGCTGCCACCACTGCCACCACTGCCACCGCTGCCGCTGGCCCTGGCCGCGCTGGCGCTGCTGGCGCTGCCGGTGACGGCGGGGTCGCCGCCCGGCCCCGAGGAGCAGCTGGCGGCGGCGGCGCCGCGCTGGGGCTGGCAGAACGTGTCGTGCCCGGCCTGCCGGGTGCTGTTCGGGGCGCTGGACCTGGCGCTACAGGTGGGCACGGGGGATCGGGGACCGCCGGGACACCGGGGGCACCGGGTGGCACCGGGAGGACGCCGGAACACCGGGCGAGGCACGGGGATGGACACCAGGACGGGAAGAGCAGGGGCGACAGGACTGGGACAGGAACGGGGACATGGGGGACAGGACGGGGACAGGGACAGGACGGGACAGGCCGGGCCGGTCCCTCGTGACGGGCCGGGGCAGGTCGGGGCTTGTGACAGGCACGAGACCGGGTTGGGAATGGGGACAGGGACGGGTCGGGATCGGGACGGGCGGGGACGGGGAGAATGACAAGCTGGGACGGCTGAAAGAGCAACGGGGGCGGGGACGGGCGGGGCCGTGCCAGCGGCTCCGCTCGGGGGAACGGGGACAGGCTGGGGCGGGGACGGGAAGGGAGGGAGGAGGGCACCGGACTGCGGAACAGAGGGGCTGGGGGATCGTGTGGGTCCCTTCTGGCCTCGGGATATCCAGCTGAGCGGTCCGGGGTGGCCGGCGGGTGTGGGACAGTGACAGGAGCCGGGTGGTGCCGTGCCCCTCCCGGAGTAGCCGTGCCCGTGCCGGCGGTGCCGACGGGCACAGGCCAGTGACAGCAGCTGAGCTCAGCGTGCAGGGGTTGTCCTGGGCAGCTGGTGGGTGGAGGGCAGCGGGGCTGGCAGGAGGTGCGGGGTGCCGGGACCATGCCGGTGTCCATCCCCCGCAGCTGGAGCCGAACGTGGCCCGCGTGGGGCGCGTGGCGTCGCGGCTGTGCCAGGAGCTGCGGCTGGCGCGGCCGCCCGTGTGCCGCCAGGCCGTCCAGCTCTTCCAGGGAGACGTGGTGGCCGCCTGGGCGCGCTCCGTGCTGCGCCCGCCCGAGGCCTGCGGGCTGCTGCTGGGGCCCCGCTGCGGCCACTGGGACATCCTGGGCGCCTGGAACCTGTCCCTGCCCGCTGCCCCCAAGCCGCCGGTGCGGCCGCCCTCGCCGCCGCCGCCCGGAGCGCCCACGGCGCGCATCCTCTTCCTCACGGACCTGCACTGGGACCGTCAGTACGCGCCGGGCAGCGCCGTTGCCTGCCCCGACCCGCTGTGCTGCCGCGGGGCGCCCCGCGAGGGGCCGGGGGCGGCGGGCTTCTGGGGCTCCTACAGCAAGTGCGACCTTCCCCTGCACACCATCGACTCGCTGCTGGCCCAGCTCCCCAACGGCACCGGGAACGGCACCGGGAACGGCACCGGGAACGGCACCGGCGGCTTCGCGGCGGCGTACTGGACCGGGGACATTCCCGCGCACGACGTGTGGCAGCAGAGCCGCGGGGACCAGCTGCGGGCGCTGCGCACGGTGACGGCCCTGCTGCGTGCCCGCCTCGGCGGGCTGCGCGTCTTCCCCGCTGTGGGCAACCACGAGGCCACGCCGGTGAACGCCTTCCCGCCGCCCTACGTGCGCGGCAACCGCTCGGCCGCGTGGCTGTACGACGCCATGGCCGAGGCCTGGCAGCCCTGGCTGCCCCCCGCCGCCCTGCGCACCCTGCGGTGGGCACGGGGCCGGGGAGGGCTCCACCGCTCAGGGGCTGTGGGGGCAGGAGGGCACAGGGGCGGGGGCCCTTGGTCTGTTGCATTTGGGGTACCAGGGATCAGGGGACACAGGGCTGGCAGGCTGCGGGGCTCTGGGCTGGCAGCTGTTCTGGGGGCTGCAGGAGGACAGACTGGGGGCTCAGGGCACGGAACTCCAGGCTACTGGGGGCACAGGACTAGCAGGAGACAGCATGGTCTCCATGCTGGAGGGGCAGTGGGGGTTCCAGGCTCGCTGGGGCCAGGTGCAGATGGCTCAGCTTCATGGGGGGGAGAGGTGCAAGGAGGGGGGTCATGGCTGGCTGGGGTACAGAGAGGGCTGTGGGGTAACGGGCTCCAGGCTGGGGGCTGTAGGAGGGTGGGCAGAGCAGGTGGCAGAGAGCTGGGGGTGTGTGGGATGGGTGCAGAGTCTGTGGCTCAGGGGACACAGCATTGACCTCCCTCTTCCACACAGGGCTGGAGGGTTCTACACGGCACAGGTCTGGCCTGGGCTGCGCCTCGTCTCTCTCAACATGAACTTCTGCTCCCAGGCCAACTTCTGGCTTCTCATCAACGCCACTGACCCTGCAGGGCAGCTCCAGTGGCTCATGGGGGTCCTGGCAGATGCTGAGCGTGATGGGGAGAAGGTGGGGGGGGGTTCTGGGGGGCCATGGGGGGGTCCCAGTGGGCCCTGGGCAAACCCACAGCCCTGGCTCCCTGCCCACAGGTGCACATCATCGGGCACATCCCCCCAGCCCACTGTCTGCACAGCTGGAGCTGGAACTACTACCGCATCATCAGCAGGTCAGTGCCTGACCCCTGCCCAGACCCCACACCATGTGCCAGACCCCTGACCATGTGCTCCACCCCACGTGCCAGACCCTGATTCCATGCCCTGGCCTCCAGCCCCATGTGCTGGACCCCTGTCCGTGTGCCCTTGTCCCCCACACCAGAGCCCCCACAAGCCAGAGCCTGGCTCCACATCCTGAACTCCCATCCCACACATGGTCCCCCTGCCCTACACGACAGACCCCTGCCCCATATGCTGGACCTCTGCAGCAGACTTTACCCCACAGCCTGGGCTCTCTCTCCGTGTGCCATCCTGTGCACCAGACTGCCCGCCCCGTGTGCCAGACCCCCACCCCATGTATCCTGCACCCCCACCCCCATACCGGACCCCAGGGCCAGGCCCGGGTTGGGGTTCCAGGCTGAGGCTCTGGGGATGCCACCCCTGCTCACCCACCCTGGCAGGTTCGAGGGCACCGTCGCGGCGCAGTTTTTCGGGCACACGCATCTGGACGAGTTCGAGTTGTTCTACGATGAGGAGACGCTGACACGTCCCGTCTCCATCGCCTTCATCGCGCCAAGTGTCACCACCTACATCAACCTCAATCCCGGTGCGCCCCCAGCCCCGCCACGCGTCCCCCCGAGCCAGGCCAGTCCCCAGCGCTGACCATCCCTCCCGCCTCCCGCTGCAGGGTACCGCGTGTACGAGGTGGCCGGCTCCTACCCCGGCAGCTCCCACGCGGTCCTGGACCACGAGACCTTCATCCTAAACCTGACGGAGGCCAACGCGGCGGCGCCGGGCACTGCCCCGCGCTGGCGGCGGCTCTACGGCGCACGCGAGGCCTACGGGCTGCCCGCGGCCTTCCCCGCCGACTGGGACCGGCTGGTGCGGCGCATGCAGGACGACGAGCCGCTCTTCCAGCTCTTCTGGTTCCACCTGCACAAGGGGCACCCGCCCCGCGAGCCCTGCGGCGGCCCCTGCAAGGCCGCCCTGCTCTGCGCCCTGCGCTCCGGCCGCGCCGCCGACCCCGCGCTCTGCCGGCCCCTGCGCCCCGCGCTGCCCTTCCCGCGCATCCAGGAGCTCTGGCACCAGCGGCGGCTCTGCTGAGCCGGGGGCCAGCAGGAGCAGGGGCTGGGACATGGTCACACCGGGAGCTCCTGGGACATGGTGACACCGGGAGCTCCTGGGACACGGTGACACCGGGAGCCCCTGGGACACGGTGACACCGGGAGCCCCTGGGACACGGTGACACCGGGAGCTCCTGGGACATGGTCACACCGGGAGCTCCTGGGACACGGTGATACCGGGAGCCCCTGGGACATGGTGACACCGGGAGCCCCTGGGACATGGTGACACCAGGAGCTCCCAAGATGTGGTCACACCAGGAGCTCCCGGGATGTGGTCACACCAGGAGCTCCCAAGATGTGGTCACACCAGGAGCAGGGTCAGCAGTGGCCTCAGGGGAAGCAGGGCAGGGACAGGGTTACACAGGCAGCAGGATTGTAGCCAGCACAGGTCACACAGGAGTGGGGCTGGGAGCGGGATTGGTACAAGGTCACGGGATTGGTACAAGGTCACTGGGAGCAAGGCTGGGATTGGCACGTGGTCCCCATGTCCCACCAGTTACACAATAAAGGCACAACAGACACCGCCACCCCTCCTAATCCTCTCCACCAGGACTGGAACTGGGGTCAGGATCAGCACAGAGTCCTCACGCTCCCATCACCTCCCGTACAGGTGTGATGGACCGCACTGTCCTTCATCCTCCTCACTGCAATTCTCAGCCACAGCAGCTTAGGGAGACCCAAATCGGGGATTCTGGGGCCCCACCACCCCACCTCCTTGTCCTGATTGTCACGCACTGGGATCACAATTGGGATCATCCCATGAT